AAAAATTCAGTTGATGGGTAAGGCAATGTGTTTCATTCATTTTCAATGCAAGATGCTCTTATTGAACATGCGTTAGAAAATAGGATTTCATTGTGTTATTACCCTATACTTTAACTTTACAGAGGGTAGACATGCATTAGTTATAGGATTTCAGAGGAATCTAGCAGTGTTATTACCCTATATTAAAACTTTGCAGTGATAGACATGCATTAAATATAGGATTTCATAGGATACAAGCAGTGCTATTACCATATACTGAAACTTTACAATGGTAGACATGAGTTAGAAAAATATTTTTTAGGAAACAAGCAGTATTATTACCCTATACTAGAACTTTATTGAACAGTTCTTTCAATTTTATTGCTATTTTTTCTAACTACAAATACTGTTACAGCACTGCTTTTTGGCAAGGGACAAACATTTTGTTCAAAGATGACACACAAAGTTTATTAAGAGATACTGAAATTTATGAACAAATCATAGATGCGTATGCCGAGATACTTCATCATGATGGAAAGAAGGACCCCAAAAAAGTTAACAGAATGCATACATCACGTGCTACACATACGTAAGATCATAGCTATCCCATTACTTCTAGTAAAAATCACAAATTATTCATCTTCCTATACTTTTCACATTCTCTCTAATGCCGAAACTATTAATTTTGCAGAGGTATCTCACAGATAAAATGCACCCAAGAACATTCGATGAATATTTTGTCAAACTCCTTGAATGCATAGGGAAAACTTTAAAGGTGTTCATACCAATAATGGATGGCGGACACCACACCCTGCTTGTCTTTGACACCAATTCATTGCAATGGACGCACTACAACTCATTGAGGAGGGAAACTGAGCAAACCGTTGAATATTACAACAAAAAAGCAATAATTTTGGTAAGAGAGACTCCTACTATGAACTGTTAATACAAGGCATGAACAAAACAGTTAATCAGTGAAGCTAACAACATACTTGCCTACAATGCAGGCAGACGCAACAAATGTCTTCCTCAATAGTGTCAAGGAATGTGCTCCAACAATTTTAGAAAAAAAAACAGCTTCCCACTTCTTGAGTTCAAGAAGCCCGTCTACAATGAAGAATTGACCGACGAGATTGCAAAACTTCTTCGAAACCTGAAAGTTACACCAGCAATTGCTCAAACAATACAATATCTGATGAAACATGATCCCACCAAATTCAACTTTAAGTAGGACAATGAATGCGCCCAACAACCTGAAAAGTCGTAAGTTTCACAATAACACTTTTATTCCCCAATTCAAGTTAAACTATGATTCACTAAATGTTGCATATATATATATGTGTGTGTGTGTGTGTGTGAATTTGCAGAAACGATTGTGGAGTATTTGTCATGTACTACATGCAGAAGTTGTCACAAGGAAAACAAATTGAAGAAAGCTTGAGTACAGAGCATGTGTGGGAAATGAGAAAAGAAGTTTTATTGAAGACAATGGAAAGTGAAAAAAGTTGGTATTTCACAAAAGAGAATGAAGGATGAAAGCATGGATTTCACAAATTTTAGAACTATAAAATAGTAAATGTTCGGCTTCTGACTTTCAAATGTCAAATTGTTAATATGTAGCTTCTAACCAAAATCTTTTGATACTTCTTAACTTTCAAATGTCAAATAGTTACTGTGTAGTGAGATTTAAATGTAAAAAATTGTTACTCTATATCTTATTTAATATTTCAAACTGCGTATTAACAGTGTTCAAAATGCGTATTAACAGTGACTTTCAAAAAACCTAACCCAAGTTGAGAAAATCAAGGTCACACGAAATAAAGCTCAAAACAAATCAAGCAAGCCATAGAAAAATACAGAAAAAAGGCCCAGTCTAATTTGACAAAAAAAAAAAAAGCCCAAACAAAATAAAAAAAGAGCTTAG